ACAGTATGATCCACCACTACTCCACTTACAGCACCCCCTCAACTGCACACACAGAGCCTTGTGGAGCCGTCTTTAGTTAGAAAAACATAGCCTGTTGTTTCCTGTGCATTAAACTGCAATTTAGAAGCCAGTAATCCATCCCATAATCTGTGACCAAATAAAATCCTGAGGTTAGAGAGCTTCCACACACTTTCCTACATTTAACAGTATTATTACATATAGCTCTTTTTACGTATCATCCAGCTCCAACCATCTCTCTCCCTGTCTTCCAAGGATAAAGTCTCAGATGGATGGAGATGCAACAATAAAGAGCAGAATGAAGAAGTGCAGATGCAAATCTTGCCTTTACAGGTGACCCAGTGATCACAACAGCATCTGGTTGAATTACTTAACACTGCCGCCCAACAGACATGTAATCCCGGATAATGCCCTTTTACTGAGTGCTCCAATCTGGATAAATTCATCCCCGAGGAATGAGATCCAGCAGCAGAATCTCAGCGAGAGAGAGGATATGAGGGGTATGGGGGTTGATTGGTTGGTACTAAAGAAAACTGCTGGGGCTGGGAAGAGAGTCTTCTAGATGGATAATGAAGCCCAACAGTAAACAGCTTGAATCTGTTGACTGGCTGACTGACTGCATGGGAGGAAGCAGATCATTGCCTGGTTTTCCAAGAACACTCCAAACTAATCATACTCCCTTCCCTGGCTGACCTGAATCCTGACTCGAAATGAGGATTTCATTTAAACTGCAGTCGCTGGATATACTGTGCTCACTAACATTCTGCATTTCCATTTTGGTACTGCTTACTGCACAACTAAAATATTTGGAAGGTTGTGTTCTTACATGAACACATGCCTATCATTTTAATTATATTGATTGATTGATATATGCAATAATCTAGTGTTTGGACTGTCGTCGACCAAGCTCCCCCTTTTGTCTTTTTTTTTTTACAGGGCATCAACCAAATGCAAATCTTAGCCAAAACTGATTTTTCTTGGAAATAGTATCTCTCGTTAATGCCACAACCACTGCCAAACATTGGGACTTACAAGTTCCAGCTGTCCAGCGGCAGCCTCTTAGATTATTTATTCATATGTTTACTTATTACCATAAATATCCAACAGGGCACTCGGCTCAGAGGGATTACAGTGGGCTTAATCTATCGTGGCACAGAAATGAGCAGAGGTCACAGCGGCTGAGGTGACTTAAGCTGGATAGCCTTGATGGGACATGCAGCACAAACAAGAAAACAAACTGCATGCCACCGGGCCCCATCATGAACTGATGACATCATCTGTCACTCACTGTGTTTGCATGGCATGATGCAGACAGGGCAAGCATTACTCAAACCAGCTGTCATGTATGGTGACTGGGTAAGTCACTCGAACAGGACAGGGACACTTTTGTGTTTCCTACCAGGCGTATTAATTGTCTTGTGCCAGACTCCCATCAGAGTACAGACAAAGCTCCCAACAAATTTAGTCTCTTTTCTGTGGTTGTGGTTGTGGTAGCTTTTGACAACATGCAAGAAAAATGTATATTGGTTTTAGTATTCCAATATGGGTATAAATCAATTAATTACCTCTGAGTTATTATGGTCATAACCCGTGCATTAGACAGCAGTATGTCTTGCTTACAAAAAATATTCATAATAATGAGGCTGAAAATTGGTATTTCTGTTTGAGTAGTGTTGTGCAGTGTAATGGGCTGTATTTCTCTCTTTTTCCCCTTTGGAGAAGCGAGAATGAGTTTTCTGTCCACATATCCAGACATGACATTGGAAAGACATTTAATTATATTTTGGTTGAGAAATATGTATCAAAGCCCGCCCATGAAAAGAGGATTTAGAGACGTCAGACAGCAGTTAATAGACAGCAGTAAATGAAAAAGGAGCTGTTGGGGGTACTAAGGCATGCTTTCCAGGACTAAGAAACAGCTTAGTCTGGCTGTGTGGTGAAATTGGGAGTTCAGACACGAGATATATGAGAGGGTGGGAGATGATGAAGGCGACCGGGGGGGAGGGAGGGAAGGGGCAGGAGATTTTTAAGAAGATTGGCAATCCATTCCTGTGCAGCAGCACTGCCCCTAGTGGGCAAACACTGAATCAACAATAGCACAAAAAGAACATTTAATAAAAAAATTGCTCATAGCCAAGCTTGCATATTAATTTCACAAGGTGTCATTCAGAGAAAGAAAAACAGACACAGAGGAAGAGAGGCAGAGGGACAGAGTGATAAAGCCCATACACTTAACATTGACAATGTGTGATTTTTCTCTAGCACATTTTCATCAGAGCATGGCACATCCAGTACAAGACTATTCTTAAACTGCCCCTCCTCCACCGGGACATCATGCTCTCACATATTTCATCCTTTCCCTGACAGAGGCTAGGGTTCTCAATCTTACTGCATATCACAGCAAAAGAAAAAAAACAGGGGAAAAAAACAGAAGGAGAGAGGGACAGTTAGTCAGAGAGAGAGAGAAATTTGGCGCTGCAAGGTGAGAAACGAAATCAAGAGACCAAAAGTCATGTGAAGAATATGAGAGACTTTGACGTTGGACACTGTGTAGATATTGGATGGGAGGAGGAATGGGGACGAGGTGGTGCGAGGAGATGGACGAGGTCCTGGACAAGTGTGGCCTGAGGTGAATGTGTTCTTGGAGACTGTCTCCCAGATCCTCCTAACTGGTGCTGTGTCATCGGTCACAGACAGGAGAGGTGACAGCAAAAGAAAAGGTGCCCTAGATGCGGTAACAGCCAGAATGGGGAGCATCTTGCAACAGCTTTCCTTCTCCTTATTCTCCCTCTCTGTTTTGCTCGCTCTGGACCATTTATTTCTCAAAGTTGAGGGGGGAAACTGCTCAGTGCCTCTGCATATGGACTGAATCTTCTCTCATTTTCACGCTCTCTTTCTTTCTCACTCTCTCGCAGGATAGCTGTGTCTAAGTATATGACTGCAATGGCTCTGTCCCCCTGTTCATAAAAAACGAGATTGTTTTTCGCAGCTTTCTGCTGACACCGGCTCAGCACATAAACAGAGCCGTAATTTGTACAACAACAGTAAGCTACAGGGAAGCACTTTTTTTCTCCCCAGGGCCGTGAATAGAGAGGGTAGGTTGTTATCCCCTGTTTACCTGGCAGGGAAAGTAGTATTTTATATTATGGTAATCAACTCTGCTGAAATGCACAGCAATCCTATCTCATTGCAGTTGTAGCAATCGTCTTATTCCAGCTGGTACTATCTGAGATATGTCCGTTGTTCCTTGAACTGCTAAGCCTGTGATAGAATGTGAATGAAAATGTGATGGGTGCAGAATAAAAGTCCAAAACAAAGTGTGTCTGCATGTGAATAAATCAAAGCAACTCTGCAGTTTTAATGTCTTATTCAATGTTATTCATGCTCTACACTTGTAAGAAATGAAAATGCAGGGCAGCAGATATACAGTAGACATCAGTTGTGGATACAAAAATGTGTAAATGCTTAACAGAGTGGAAGACATAACAACACAGCAAAGCAGTAACATCAGGAACAATTACAGCATCTACAGTACCATGTCTGATGCACTATAACTCCCCCGAAACAAAATCCATGACCTAGAGAGAAAGCTTCCATTGCCTTGACTCATTCTACTCTCTAGGTCGGCTTACTCAGCTTGTGTCACTGTACCAGGTCATACAATCACAAAGAAAACAGAGAGTACAGCTGGCATCATCTTTGGAAGGGATCTACACCCGTTAAAGGGCGGAAGATGCTGAGAGGGAATTAGAAGCTTCATCGCTCCAGTCAGTTCAAATTGGTCTGCCCTAACATTGTTGTTTTTTCCCTGGTTTTACGAGAAAAGTTAGTAAATAATTGTATTTGTTTCTGTTTCTGTTATAGGCTATAAACTGACAGCTGAATTCAGTGCCGTACAAAATGATCTTGTTTACCAGGTTTCATTTGTTTCCACTGCTGTAGCAGCCTGTCACTGACTTTGAGTGGTCAATAAACTGAGACCTCAGATTGGAGAAGACTGGAGTTTGCCTTTTTTGTGCAATTTTTCAACAAAAGCTTACAACTCCCTCTGGGAAACAACCATACACACACACAGACGCACAGACACACACATTCATTCAGCCAGTGCCTTTCTTAGAATGTAGTCAAATGTGATGGGGTCACGCTTTGAAAGGAGGTGGTATCTGTGTCATTGACCTCGACCCGCGGAGTGCAATCCAGGGCGCTTGTTGTGGGCTGGAAATGACGCTAGGAGCTGACAAACATCCACTGTCTGATTCAGCCCTGTGTGCGTCCGTGCATCGCACAGACACCACAGAGGTAGAGTTCTGCTGTACTTTACTCACCTCTATTGTTTTTTCAAAGACAACCACCTGGTGGCAAACTGGGGAAACAACAAATCCACCCTCATTCTGTCCACAAACAGACTGTCTAGGAATAAAAATAACAACAGCAGACACTATCCAAAGGGTTGCCAAGCTATACTCATGAGTCTGTCTTCTCAAGCACTTCACCATCAACTTTTTCTCCCTCTTTTCTTTTGACCAGAGCCCCTGTAGTCGGACTCAATGGGGAAAGGCTGTCAGTTCAAAACAATGTGACTCAGGACTGAACACTTGACTGAAATGGACTGGGGTTAGAGGACTTTGTTTTTGTGTCTGTGTGTGTGACAGGCAATATCAAGCCCGCATAGGAAGTATTTAACTAGCTGGTCTGAAAGCTATGACAACCCAATGAGGGAGAAAAGTGCATGCTACAACTATCCACAGCTCCTTAACCACAGTACGGCCACACAGACTTGTTCCTCTCATTTCCTCCTTTCTCTTTTGCATCAGACATCATAGTGCACGTGGGAGTGCTATATTATAAGCAGTTAAAACACAGATGGCAGGCCGAGCGCAGACATCACAGCAAGATGAATTCAGAGACACAGTTCCCAGCCAGCAAGTCAATCACAAGTGCGCGCGATGTGATGAATAAGCAACTTAATCTGGAAAACTCACCATGTCCGGAGATCCACAGAAGCAGAAGGACCCAGGGGATCATGACTGGGGAGTGGAGAGGGCAAAACCTACGAAAAACAGTGGGCGAGTGTGAAATTGAAGTTGGCAGGCACAAACACATGCACGAGATGAGACAGTGCTCCTCTGTGCTGCTGGGGGGGACGGATGCTACAGTCCCTTAGTGGTGTTTCCTTTTACCAGTGGAAGGCTGGCAGTCTGTCTTCAGTCCTTCTCTTCTTCTGCTGATGCTTTTTCTTTGTGTCTCTTTCCTCTCAGTGTCACTCTTCAGAGTTGCTGGTGGTCAGCTCTGCCTCGCACGCTCTCTTGTTGATGTGAGCTTGTAGACTTTCTGTGTCTTCGCAGCTTGACTCTGAGCGTACACACGCTCACTCCTTCTCTCTCGCTCGCACGGTTTCTCCTTGCCCATCCATTCTCAGCCTCTTCAGCCCTCACTCCCCCCCCCCCCCTTCTCTTTCTCTCTCATGCTCTCTCTCTCTCTTGCTCTACCACTCACGTAGCAGACAGTCAGGGGATAGAGCTCCACAACTAGACTCCTCCTTCACCCCTCCCTCCCCCTCTCTCTCTCTCGCTCTCTCTCTCTGCCTCTCAGCCTGGCTGTCTGGGTGGCTGTGGCAGTGTGAGGCTGGGAGGCTGGGAGACTCAGGTCTGGGAATGAGAGCTGCCATGGGAGAAACAGAGAGGGTGCAGATCCAATTAGAATGAGAATAGGAACTGTTTGGCCTCTATAGCCACAAATAACACAGACATCCACAAAACAAAAGTGCAGTCCCCCCCCCTCCAAGTTTAGACCAACGCCTTTCTTGAATTCTATTGACGGCACTGAATTTTGAAAACCGTAACAAGCCTTCCTCGAGAATGGATAAAGACCACATTAGCATTCCAGACCAGAGCTGTAGTATTCATTCGGATCCAATTTTTGTCAGGGGCGAATTAGATTCATAGTCACTCACTCAAGGAGCCATGATGCAAGACGTCATGAAATGTCTAAATGCACTTGCATACTTACTAACAAGTTTCCTGCTTATGCCTGTTAAATATTTAATAGGGGGCATTTCTCTATGTTTTATGCCAGGCTAGAGAGCCCTCCAAGTTGTACTATTAAAACACTATGCTCTACTGTAGATTTAGCAAACTAAAGGGCCCAGCAGGTTTCAAGGATAGAAATACTATTTAATCTGATACTTCATGCACATAAATTAAAACCTCACACATAAAAATGTGTAACATTAAGTAAATTATAAATAAATACTTTAACCTAAAGCTTTTTTTTTTCGCAGATGAGAAGTACAAAATTATTGAAGCTTTAGTTGCTACAGGTGGCTCTCCCTAATTGTTTGTGTGCTTACCTCATTATGTGTCAATTCTGTATTAGAGTCAACTTTACAATGTCATAAGGAACTTCTGAGAATGTACTCTGTGCTTAGTGCTAAGTATGAAATGTTTCTGCCAACAGCAAACATTATGCCTGCTAAACATCAACATGTTAGCATCGCCACGACGTGACGTTGGCATGCTGACATTAGCATTTAGCACCGTTAATGCACCATTCATTGTGCCTACAGCTTCACAGATCAGCTGTAGACTCATGTTTGGTTGTTTATATTAACATGGCTATTATTGTTATTATTGTTTGTGTTGTCTTTCATGTTTGTCTAATTTCCATTCATTTCTTTTAGACATTTTAGTTAAATCATACCTGAATTTATTTATTAAAAAATCTATAACCATAAAGCCTTTAATTTACTGGTTAAATATCTTCAAAAGCAAAAAGAACATTTCTCTATTGACTTTGACATTCTAGGACCTAGAGGGACAAACCTATTTATATAAAATGTACAGTAATGCCTACAACATCTAGATCAGAGCTCTGATAATGACACAGTAAGCACTGCATGAGGGCCTAGTCTACGTCATATCAATTTAATCCATCCCTTTGACTTCCTAATCTAATCAAAGGGCCAGAAGATGACAGGTGGTCTTTTCATCAGTGCAACTAACAGCTACACACAAAAACAACCCCACTGCGGCTGGACCAGAGGATAACAGATTTGCATTCTGCCTAAGAACATGATGAGTAGATGCAAAGAATAACAATGGAGCTTATGTGCTTGAAGGTTGAGCAATGAGGGTAAATGAGGTAAACAGGCATACAAAATTGTATGTCCACAACCCACAGTCCCCATACTTGGTACAATAAATCCTTAGCCTAAATTAATTTTTTTCTTTAAATATTATGAAACATTTGAGGGTGATGAGCTGAACTTAAGGAATCTTGTTTGTCTTGTCATTAATATTAAATTAGATCAAAATCCTACAGTGAAGATGTCAAATAATTTTGTAGCGTTATATCTATAAAGGGTTTACTCCAATGATTTCACCTTTGCTATCTGACACCTGCTTGCCATTCCAATGTTGACCGATACCTGTTACACCAGTGTAAGTGCCAAATTCTTCAGCCATTCTGAAATTCTTTTTAAAAAATGAAAAGAAAATACACTTCAACAACATGCCTTCTATTACAATATCCATACATTGGGGAAACATCGGTAGATGTATAGTTGGGAACTCTTCTTTTCAGCCTCTCTATACCAGCTATGACCATAATCCACAGTCACTACGTGTGTAAGACAATAGATCTAATGTAAAAAATATTTTCCATTATAACAGTTAATTAGTATTGCACTACTATAACATTGTTGGACACGTTTGAAAATAGTCTATGCATCAAAACCAGAAATATGATTTTATTTGTTCCAGGCATATTTTTTTCTTGTAAAAACCTGGTGAGTAAATTACCTACAATGTAACATGGCCGCAGAAAGTGTGGTGGGAAATTGGGATGTGTTATACTAGTAGAGGCTAATGTAGCCTTGAGCTCTAGCCTCAAACAGTGACGAGGAGTAGACTACAAAGGTCTGGAAAGCCCACTATTTTCTAACTCCAAACTTGTAGTATTCATCTGCAGTTAATGCTGACTGAACTGATCACAATTACTGAGATTTGGCACAGCTGCCTTTTGTGGCCACAAAAGGCTTTTTTTTAGCAGCTTTGTCCCCACATATGCAGTAGTACTACCAAAGATCTGTAAACAGACTTGTATGAATATAATGTGTAAAATTGGTGGAGTTTCCTTTCATGTCCAATTCGATGAACTGTAAACTTACAACTAAAAATCATGGGAACAACTGAAAACCAATACATTGTAAGAGAAACAAAAAAATGAGTGTGGCAGACTTACTGCTGCTTGCAGTCCTATGCAAATATCATCTTTTATAACTTCACTTTTGGTTTTTACAGGCTTTATTATGGCACAAGGTCACAATTCTATTAAAATACATCCTTCAAACTAGGCCTTATTTAATGTAACTATGCAACAAATAAATACAAGTCAATTAAAATACTAATACTTACTGTATGCCAGAGTGTTGTAACATGTGGATATGTGATTGATTTTCATATTAGTCTGACTTTCAAAACACAGGGCTATGCAAGCAGCCAGCAGCTTCTGTTCAAGTGAGAAATGGGAATGAATCTTGTTTATTCAGTACTTTCTCAAGCCTGCATGTCAAAGACCGAGGAGCACATCTTGCAACGCACAGCAAAACAGCAGTTCCTAACTAATTTAATTAATTACGTTGGGCTCCAAAGTGACCTTTGAAACTTGAAGGCTTAAAAATTACCAGGAACAGATTAAGAATCAATCGAAAACTAAGAGCTGAGGAAAAAGTGCCATTTGGAGGACATGAGTAATGCTTCATGGCACAGAATGTTAAATTGTTTTTAGAAAAAATGTATTTGTCATGGAGAAAAATAAACACACTATAATAAATAATTAAATCAATATATTAATTGTAACATTTTAAACAATATGGCTGCCATGGGAAAAAGGGAGTTCTGAATTGTTGAAGCTGTACTGCATGTCTTTTTCGTTCCATGCCACCCATGAAATCTTTTGCCTCTTCCCCATAAAATGCTAAGTCTCACACTCGTACTCAAAAAGTGACACGTTAAGATGATGGACAGGCACTCTGTTTTTGAGCTAAATAGAAAGTGACATATCTGTTTATTTCTCTTGGGCCTGCATATCCGCTGTTGAGACACTGAAAGGTCTGAAACACTGCTATCTGTGGATGTGTGTGTGTCCCAGTATATATGTGTATGTTAAGTGTGTGTTACCGTCAATTTGTATTTTGAAATTAGCAAATCAGCCAGTTGTCTTTCAATGAAGGACATCCACTCAATCTTTGTCAGTCAGATGATTCCCCAGAGATGCTACATCTCTAGCCCTGATGCCTCAGATTCTCATTCTAATCAAGTTTGCAAAGTGGCAGAGCAGAGGATCTAAATGAATGGAATTAAACAGTATGGCAAGGTGTTGGGAGGAAGCTGGAAGCGTGATGACATCTCATTTTCATCCAGAGCACTTTTTAAGACAAGGACCCTCGGCATTCTGTGCATTTACATTTTATTTAGTATTAAAGGGAAAACAATGTGAATATATGTATTGTTTATCTTATTCAGTCAAATAATTACTCTATAGTAAAAATGAACAATTACACTTTTACCTTTTACAGATCTGACTCTCTAGGGTTAGTAATTATCTCTGTCAATGCTCACATTGACAGTTAAAAAATAAATAAAAGATAAATTAATGGCCACTTACTATTTTCCTTTATACCATTGCAAGGTCAAGCTCAAAACACCAGGGATCGCTTTTTGCTGCACTGTGCTCCTTTATCTGAATCTTTCGACTTTACTGAAGTCTCACCTACATTCAAGAACACTTGCTCTCCTTGGGACCACACTCTGCTGACTTTGCTGATATAAACTTAAGGCCTAATTATGCTTTGAAATGAAGTAAAATTCAAGCTGCACAGCAAGAACTACAAAAGGAAAACTGCAAGGTTCAAGAAGAGTGAGAGCATAACAAAAGAAGCTGTGACCACAGACTTCTCCAGTCATTAATCAAACTAACATGTGGTTGCTAAATTTAATGTGTGTACAAATTGCCATTTGATTTCTATTAATCAGCCTCCTAATTCCTAAATAATACCAAATGCTTTTTTCTGTTATAGTCTGCTTATTGTAGGTTTCTATTATTTGTTAAATTACAGCATGTAGCACCATTGCGGCCATGATGAACTCCAAACAATGTCGAAATAATGAAATGTAGATGCCATCCCATCAGATACACAAAGTTAATATTTTAGACTACATGTTGACTGCATTTTGATCACAAACTTTGAGATACTGTGCTAAGCATCCCATTACAGTATGTCACAGTTGGCAAGCCCGACATCATAGCAGCAATTCTTTGCAAACATGTCCTTTTGTACATGTAAATATGATATCATTTTGTTCCCAAAGCAAAGTATACAGCCTGCTTAAGACTGGGGCTCTTCTCTGACTCAAGTCAAGTTTACAC